TCTTGCATCTCGGTCGCGCTGTATTTATTGTATAACAGTGCCTACCCCCCCCCCAATCGCGCCACAAGCCACCCACCCCCCGGTCGCTCCTCACCCGAGGAGTCTTGCAGTCCTGGGCGTTGGCGAGTCGCAGCAGCAACTAAACTAAATTAATTAGCCACGTTAATTAATAGGATTAATTAGTTAAGCTGATAGTCTAGGTTGGTTAGGTATAGGAGTTGGATTGTTAGTGTTGCGAGCATGCCGCTAAAGGCTTGATATTTGATATGTTGCTGTTATTAGTTTTTTTTTAAGAATTGCCCCGTAGGGGGCGCATGCAAGAGATTGGGGCAATGTCCGCAAAACGATAGTTCGAGGTCCTGCAAACATGGGTGCTTTCTACGTGGCGATGCAGTGGTTTTTTTACGAAGGTTATTTTCGTGTGCTAGTGTCGGTAGTAGATTCGTTGTTGAAGCGCGATTTGTTTGATATATTCAAAGCGGCACCTGAACTTGTCACTGCCAACCTTTGTATTTATATAGCTGTTGTAATATTGTTGCTGCTGTTGCTGTTACTGCTACTGCTGCTGCTTGTGGTGGTGCTGCTGCTGCTATGGCTGGCGGTGCTGCTGCTGCTATGGCTGGCGGTGCTGCTGCTGCTATGGCTGGCGGTGCTGCTGCTGCTATGGCTGCTGCTGCTATGGCTGGTGGTGCTGGTGTTGGTGTTGGTGTTGGTGGTGATGGTGGCATTGGTGATGATGTTTGTGGTCGTGCTGCTGCTGCTGCTGCTGCTGCTGCTACTGCTTATGTACAAATATTGACAGTGTAAAATAACAAGATTTCCACAAATAGAAACGCTCTGATTTCGTATTTATTCGTATTCGTACAATTAGAAAATATACATACAACATTGTTTGATCACACACGAATGTGCGTTTACTGATCTACACACACAAGACACAGATCTGTAGCTACATGATTTACAATCATATATTAATTACTACCATGTATTGCTTCTGCCTCTAGAATTTTTCTCTGCCTGCGCGCACCAAGCCAGCTAATTCCAGCAATATCCCTCTGGCATCTACACCTGCTGCCAGAACAACAGGGGCACCTCGTTCCCAGGCACCAGGGATAGTCGTGGTGATTAAGCGCGGCGGGAACGCAATCCCTAAACACGAGGATCGGTTGCAGACTGCCGCTAAATTTCCAACGCGCGCGGGGCACGTTCTCTTGTTTCTGGGCAGGCGTCTTACGAGGACGTGCCGCCCGGCTGGCCGCTGTCGGCGTTGGTGGCGCCACCGTCCCGCTTGCCTTTATCTGTGCGAGAGAAAGTTTTGAATAATGTTATGGCTTTCCCTCCTTCCAAAGTAACCAAACAAGAGAGAGCTAGTAAGAATGAGAGAGAGAGAGAGAGAGAGAGAGAGAGAGGGAGAGAGAGAGAGCGAGAGAGAGAGAGAGAGAACGAGAGAGAGAACGAGAGA